GAATATTTATTGAAATTTTTAACAATTGATTGTGCATCAGCGAGAAAAACATGTATTTGACATCAATTTATTGAAAATTAATGTTAGATTAAAAAGTGAACTTATTAAATCCTAATCGATTTCTATATATTATTTTAGTTAAAACAAATGTAACACATATAATTTGGACTGAATTTAGTTCAAAAATAATAAATATAAATCAAATAAATGTTAAATTACAAATTTGAGATGTATGTTCATTCGAATAAAAATATTATTTATTTTATTGTTTTTCGTTTTTTTTAAAGACTGCTGGACAAGAAAGATTTCGATCAGTAACACGTAGTTATTATCGCGGTGCATCTGATGCTTTATTAGTTTATGATATAACAATGTATTGTCATAGAATATAAATAATTTAATGTTTAATTCTGATTTAAATATTTATTTAAGTCGAGAAAGTTCTAATGCTCTTGCTAATTGGTTATCTGATGCTCATCAATTAGCTAGTTCAAATATAGTTATTATTTTATCTGGAAATAAATAAGATTTAGAAGATCAACGACAATTTACTTTTATTGAAGCTAATCAATTTGCACAAGATAATGCATGGCCAATCGTTTTCTTTTTTTAATCTTTTCTTTCACGTCTTCTTTTCTTTTTTTAATTTTTATTTAAGATTTAATATTTATTGAAACATTTGCAATGACAAGTGAAAATATTCATGAGTCTTTTCTTCTCAATGTGCCTAAATCATATTAAACAAGATTGATTCTGGTATTTTAATTAAAAATTCCTAAGGAAAAAAAGATGAATTGAATTTATTTTGTTTAATAGGTAGTATTGATCCATATAGAATAAATTCAGGCATTCAATGTGCTCGATCAATTGCTAATCAGCGATCTCAACATTCTCTTTCTGATCATCAATCAAGAGATAAATCAATAAAAAGCTGTGCTTTGTGTCGAACATTATTTTATTATTATTTTATTTGAGATCTGAAATTCATTTAAAATTAAGTTCTAAATTAGATTTTTATTAACTGATAAGCAAAAAAAAACATTTTCTCTATATCTATATATAATATAAACACATTATTTATCATATGCTGCTATTCCATTGTAAATGATTTTCACTTTCCTTTTGTTTTTCTAAATTTTCTAACGATCGGTGAGATTTTATTTCAATTGAAATCAATTCTAAAACTTAAAAAAAAATCTTTAAAAACACTAAATGTATATTTATCTAATTCAAAATGTCGATTTTGTTTTCACCATTTTTTTTTTACTTTCAAATGAGATAATATATATTAACAACAGTTTATCACAATGATTATTATTTATAAAAATAACAGAAATTTATTTTGCAAATACATTTTTATTAAGACAATTATAAATCTTCTATCACTAAATCAATTAATATTAGTCTTTATTTCCTATTGCATTGATTTATTATTTCAATAATCTAATATACTATTTATTGACCTTTATTCAAGAGGTATTTATCAACAATCGATGAGAAATATTTACAAATTATTGTTTATTTATTGTCGAATTCGATTTTATTAAATATGATTTATTGATCAATATTATTTAATAAATAATAAATAATGCTGCTCGATTGATCTATATCTATATCTATATAGATAGAAATAAATGATTTATCTTAGGTAAAATTTCATTGGAACAAATTGGTGTCGGAATATTTTATAATGATCGACCAACTCGTCGTTTAACGAGAACATTTTCTTCTCATGTAGATTTAAATCTAAATATTCAAAAACGAATTTGTTCAATATGTAATTAATGTCGAATATATTATTATATTTAAATGTTAATTAAAAATAAAGATCAAATTTTTATCTATTTTTAGATGATCATAAATAAGTCGTTAATATGATATAAGAGATTAACATTTATTTTCAATATTATTCTCTTTGAATATATTTATTTAAATATATTATATTAACATATATATGAACAATAGAATATTTATCAAATGAATAAATATTTAACTGAAAGAATTCTATTAAAACAGATAATAAATAAATAAAATCTAACCAGGATAAATGAGTAATTAGTTATCTATATATATATGATAAATATATCTAATTGGTTTCACTTGTTCATTTTGTTCGAATGACGACGATAATAGATAATAAATAAATGAATAAGATTAGTTCTAATCGATATCATCGGACTTTTTCAAATATCTAGTTATAATTAACTTAATATTTTATTTTATTTCAATTCAAATTAATATTAAACAAATCGATCGTCTTATTAGTTACATGTTTATCGATTATTGATAATGTAAATATGTTATTTCAATTTGGTTTGATAAAAAAATCGAATAATAAATATAATCATAATCATATAATAGACATATTCAAATAATATTATATCGATTTAGTTAAAACATGAAACATATCATCCGACATAATTTAGTCAATATTGTATTTATCTTGATAGAAAACAAAATCAATATATTTTTTGCTTTAGTTATCATTAAGAAAATAATCGATTATTCATATATTCAGATTTTAATTTGTTTTTATACAGTTAATATATATTATTTTCTCTAGATCTAGACTGAAACGATAGGCTCGAAAAACAGACATTCATCTGTCTCTCTCTTTCTAATAGACATAGCACGGAATTGATATGGTACATACAAACTAGTACATATTGAGATGTGGTATAAATGAACGAGAACGTACAGATGTAAAACGGGTTTGGTGTAGTTATAAATCTTTTGATTGGTGAAAGTGCAAACCCTATGTTGAGGTAGCTGCAAGACTCTTTTATCATTATTATTGCTTTATTTAGGTATTGTTTTTCTTAACTATTACTCTTTTTTTTATGCAATTCTATATCAATATGTACTCGGTCAGTCTCGGGCAAAATGAATCGATTGCCGATGTGTTTTGCTTGTGTATAGGAGTTAATCAATTTAGTTTTATATTTAATTGAACATAATCAATAATAAGTCTATATAAAATAAATAGATAAAGATCCTATTGATGAAAATCATTGACTATTCTATGCCCTTTTACATCGATATTCTTCATTTGAACAACTAGAAAAACAATTAAATTTCTTTTTTTATATTATTATTTCAATTGAATAAATAAATCGTGATCATTTCATATATATATATATATATATTGTTGATAATAAAATAAAACAAATGTTCGAGAAGCAATAAGTTCAATTATATATATGAATATGTTTATATTGATTAACTTTAAACAACTCTTATCTGAATAATATCCATCTTAACTTATTCATTAATACAATGGATAAACAATTTCAAATTCGCTAATCAATATTAATTAAATAAACTATAAAAATTTTTCGAATAAACAAATAGGTTTTACTCAATTGTATTTAGTTCTTACTGTACAAATAGATCCATCATTATTATCAATATTATTTATTATATTAATTATTTGTTAATACTATTGAAATTTATAGGAATATTTTCTCTTTGTGTACTAAACAGGTGTTACTTGCATAATTAATATATAATCATATTCAATTCTATTTACTATTTGTGGAAATAAAAGTGCCAGTTCATGTAAGCCACCACCTAACTTGCTCAATCGAGGTCATCCGATTTTGCTCAATTTGGGGTGTGTGGGTGGATGGATGGGTGTGCTGGTGTAGATGTGAATGTGGATGGATGTCAGTGTGAGTTGTGGTCTTCTCTACACTAGCACCAAAAACCCACACCCTTGTCGGTCAATTTTAATGAAGAAATGACAAACGAAGATGGCATTAAAGAATGCTCTCAAAAATTTTATGAAACTGATACTTTAGCAAACTAGTCACATTCTAGACGTCATTACAGTGCAGACAGGAAAAAAAGGCGATGAAGTTTATATTATTAGTGAAAGTGTTGTCTAACTGTTTGAAATGTTTTTTTTTTCAATAACATTCTAAAGCATAACAGAACTCAATAAATAGTTCAATGAAATGAATTTTCTTAACATTTTGACAATCAAGTGTATCAGTTTGTCGATAATATGTTCCCTAACGAACAGAGCCCGTCGGATTCAAAGCTTTTGAGCCAGGATTCTATCTGCACTTTTAATATTCTCAGCAAAATTTTTTAATCCATCTTGATAGTCACTCCGAAAATGCGAAATATTTTTTTCGCTTATTTAGACTTGACAACAAGCACGTCCTACACATTTCTCAGGTCATTTTGACGATGATTGTATAATAATGTCGACATAATTGACTGTGAAGTTTAGAATAGCAACTCTTGGGTTAGATCCAGACCCGACATGTTCTGGTGGAGGATTGAAAATTTTTATCTTTATACTTCAACATTCCTATTACCGTAGTAGACAAAAGTCTCTAACTCACCAGATCTCAGCAAATGCGAGTACTGTGGATCCGAAAATTTGTGCGGATAGAATCCACCAAGAATGTAAATCAGAGTTACGAACTGTCTCGATTGCTTAAATACAACGCGAATGACGGTGAACGGCGTCTATTTTTACTTCAAGCCTTTTAAACTGAAAGATTAGTATATGGTCCTTGTTCAATTAAAAGATTATGTAATTCGTTGCAAAATTATTTTTTCTGAATCCTCAGTACCGACATGATGATTATTGGCATGCCTTTTTCCTTCAGAAGGTTCTTTTCTGAGACTTCTAGACAATAATATTCAGATACAGACAAAGTTTCACTTGCATGGTCACTATTCCTAGCAAAGGCATATGGTCTTCGATGAAATTAATAGCTTACATATCTAGAGCACAGCCATAAATAATAATGCACCACCTGGCCTATAATGCCCTTTCTTTTCAGAAATGTAAAGTTCAAAGAGCAAATAATTGCCATCCATCATAATTCTCGTTATATTTAAGCAATCAGTTAGTGGAGTAGATATTTTTGTCTACTTTTGTAGATCGTATTTCACAAAAGAAAGAAAAAAAAATATTTACTTGATTTTTTCCAACATGCTCCATAACTTTATCATAAATAAGATCATTCATAATTTGAAAACGTTTAATGACTTTTTTCTGTTATACCTATATGTTGTTTTTCAAGTGGTACAAGTCTATAACTATTATCAAAATGAAGTAAATCTTCACACTTAACATTAAGAAATGTTGTTATATCTTCATAATTACGTAACGTTGCACTTAAACCAACAAAAACGAACAGCATCTTGTGTTGTTTTAATAGTACGTATTGTACGTGCTATAACATCTTCAAGTACAGGACCATGATCATCATGTAATAAATGTACTCCATCAAGAATAATTAAACGAACTAATTGTGTATATGAACGTTGACCACCCTTACGTGTTATAATATCCCATTGTTTAGATGTAAAAACAATTGTGTTCAATTGATTTGTTCTCGTGATAATTGATGATCTTCAGTTACTTCAGCGACTTTTAATCCAAATGGATTTAAACGCTAAATAATAAAAAAATTTATTTTAAAAAAGTGAAGATTAAAAAACAAAATTTTACTTTAGTAAAATTTCTGACGATTTCTTATACAAGTGATCTCATTGGAGCTATATAAATTATTTTAAACTCGTCTACATTTATTGTACCGTCGGACATGCATGTTTGCCAATTTCATGCAAAATACAAAGTAAAGCACTATTTGTTTTACCAGAACCATTTAATTAAATAAATTAAATAGTTTTTTTAAGAATGAAAAATTTTGACTTACGGTTGGTACATATAATAAAATATTCTGATCAGATTCGAATGCTACTTTAACCATACCTGATTGAGTACGATTTAGTATTTTATAACCTTCACATGCTGGTTGAGCATATTTAAGTAAATTCAAAATTGAATAAAGAACCTAAAATTTATGAAAAATTAAGATTAGATTAACTTCAGGTTTGAATTTCGTGAAATAAATAATCTGCCGAATTATACAAGATATTTTTTCGCTTGTGTTATTAATATATTCATCTCATAAAAACAGTCATCACACTGTTAATTTAGTTTTCGACTCGAAGAAAAAATAAACTTTTAGAGAAAGTCTTCTGTCATTAAATGGTGTGCATACCAGAGCTCCGCGGGACAAGTTCCACGCTATAGCACATGCCTATGCGAGGCCATCTAAAGTTCCACGAAGCGCATGCTATTTCGTCTCATGGTCTGACATACCATAGAATGACACTGAGTAAACGAATCAGCGCTGACAGCAACGATTTCATATAGCAAAAACAGAATGACGTGGGATTAGGATCAAAAAAATTTGGCCCTACACCAGTGTTTGACATGAGTCAAATTTTTGTGACCCAATACGACTCGAGGTCAGGTATTTTTTTTCATGACCTAACCTGAGCTGATCCAAGTCAGACTCTGATATCGACCACTTTCTCTTTCTTTTGGAGAAGACGATTTCGCAATCCTTCGTTCTTCATTTCATTTTGTAGTTGGAAACAAAGGATATATCCTTGATCTCTTTTCGTCCTTGATATTTTACCGATATTTCACAGTTGTGGGACAACACGATTACGTAATAGAATCTTTTCTTGGTTGTCTTTCTTCTCTTATGTATACAACCTGCGACTTTTATATCACCATGGAAGAGACGGTACACTCGCTATGTATCGTTGTCTGATATCAATACAGAAAAGTGGGTGAATAGAAGAAAAGATTGTACGATATATAACTGTTTGTTCTACTTAGCCTTTCCACGATCTCTAATAAAAATCTTAAGTGAAAAAAACATGTGAAATGTTTTTTGTATCTACAAAATGCTCAGACTACAGATCTATCCTGCAATCTAAAACTTTTTTCATAATCTGACCTGAGTAGAACACTGTCCTATACATCTCTACTTCTGGTCCATCCTTTAATACATGTTTGGTACATCTTCAATTCGTGCGAAACAGTTTTATTATTGAATGGGTGTCTCATATAATGAAAAAACAATTTGAAATAATATGAATTATCCAACAAACAGCGTCATCTGTCGCTTACTTTTTTAAATGAATCATATGTATTCTTGCTGGAAGAGCACTAGAAAGATAAAAATTTTACTCGAATGCTTTTTTAGATCTGAAAAACTAGCAAACTTATAAAAAAAAAAATATGAAATAATGAGTATTTTAGCTCGTAGCCTTTATGCTTATCGATTTTTCGAAATTGTAAATCGTGTATGTTTAATAGAACCAGGTAAAACATTCCCACTATACTCGTTTACTATTTGTTTTCTTTTGTCTTGAAAATTGCCAAAATTGCTATTTTTAGTATCATATCTTTCGAATTCAACAACAACCACAGGCAAAGTTCTAACGAATACGTCAAATGGTTCATTACGTTCATGTGATTTTGAAATACTTGGTACTGTTCAACATGTTTTTTTTCGTCAACATACTCAACAACAAGCTACAAAATTAAATCTTGTTGGATGGGTGAAAAATACTGAAATAAATACAGTACAAGGACATATGGAAGGACAGAAAAATAATATAGACCAAATGAAAATTTGGCTTCAAACAAAAGGAAGTCCAAAATCAAAGATAACTAAAGCAGAATTTACAAATGAAAAACCGATTACAAAATTAACTGGAAATACATTTGACATTAGAAGATAAAAAAAATAACACTTTTTTACTCCCCGACGTCAATTATCAATTTTATATAGTTGTAGAAATCAATTTTCATTTCAGATCGAATGGTTTTCATAACTTGTATTCGTCATGCAATTCAACAACGTTCACGAATGTTTCTTCCAACGCCAGTTCATCTTCCAAGAGAAAGTCGTTCTAAAAGTCAATCAGTAATTTATTTGTTATTTTATTTTAAATCAAATTTGAATTTTATCTTATTTTATTAGTTATTACAAGAAGCAGCTATTGTTCATAGTGTAGAACATGGATTTCCACAATTATTACCATTAGGTAATATAAAGAAAAGAAGATTATTAATCAATAATAAATGTTGTTTTCTTTTCTAAAGGCTTTCGTATTTTGACGAAATTGAAAACTTTAATTAGAAATGAAATGAATAATATTGGAGGACAAGAATTATCACTTCCAGCAATTGGACGAAAAAATATTTGGGAGATTAGTGGTATGAATAGATTATATTATTTTGAAGAATTTTTTCAAAGATTAATTTTAGATCGATGGAATTTAATGCATAATGAATTATTTAAATTTAAAGATCATGATGAAGAATATTGTTTAAGTCCAGTAAATGAACATAATTATTTTTGTCTTTTTTTTAAAAGAAATATTTTTTTTTTGTTTGATTTTAGACTCATGAAGAAGCAATTACTAAACTTGTTTCATCTGTGTGTAAAACAATTCCACGAAGTAATTATCCATTATTGGTTTATCAGGTAAATTATTAATTAATTAATTTTTTAATAAATAGAAAATGTTTATATGTCATTAGCGAATCTAGATTACATGGAAATATCGTAATGAATCAAATTATCGTCATGGTCTTTTACGAACAAAAGAATTTCTTATGAAAGGTCTTTAGTTTTTTGTTTTTTATTTGTTTAAAAAATTTTTCTTCTTTACTATATTGTTATTTAGATCTGTATAGTTTTCATAGAGATGAAGAATGTGCACGACAAATATATGATCAAGTGTGTGATGCATATGAAAGAATATTTCAAAAATTAGAATTAAATTGCTTTAAAGGTATATAGTTCATTATTAATTATATATAAAATATTGTTTTGAGTTTGATTTTTATTTAGTACCAGCTGATAGTGGTCTAATGGGTGGTTCATTAAATCATGAATTTCTAGGGGTATCAGCTATTGGTGAAGATACATTACTTATTTGTCCAAAGTATGTTGAGTTATGATAGACATAATTTTCAAAAAATATAGAACTGTAGAGACTTTTGAAGAAGAAGACGATAATGATAAACGATAGAAACTATTTGAGATATCAGTAAAACAAAAACTTCTGTTTTTTATCACTTTTCATTTATTGACTCTTATATGACTCGTAATTTTCGTTTTAAAATAAATATGATATATCTAAAATTAGTACCATAACCATAAATATTGATATAATCTGATTTAATAGATTCTTAGTAACACTCGATAGATGCAAACTTAGGCTTTGTCAGCAGTCCTATTGAGGCTGTATTATTTGATGAAATTCTTATCTTTTTTTTATATACAATAATATCTAATCTATTATAGTTATCATCTTTTATTAGAAATATGGTCTTCATTTTGATATATCATACGAAGTTTATAAACAGTTTATTACAAGAAAATGATATAAATCATTTTTTTTTATTGACTCTTTTTTAAAATGCTATTAAAGACTAGAAAAATAAAACGTTATTCAAAGATATTAATGCTGATTTTATATATTCATATGATTTTTACTTTGACATATACATTTAGATGTAATCGTGGCTATTTAAAAAATAAAACTCAATGTGACCATACAGAAAAAATTGAACAACGAGCCATTGAACTTGGTCATTGTTTTCTTCTTGGTGATCGTTATACCAAAGCATTTAATGTAACAGAAGGATCAACAGATATAGCTACTGAGAAAAAGTAAAAAAAAAAGAATATTTATAATATATATCTATTTCTTTTTGTAATAGACCGTTAATAATGGGTTGCTATGGTATTGGTTTAACACGTTTAATGGCAGCAACAGTTGAAATACTTACACCAAAAGAATCAAATGATATACGATGGCCAAGACGAATTGTTCCTTATCAAGTCGCTATTGTACCACCCAAAGTTTGTCATGATTTGTTTTTATTTAAAATAATGAAAAATTATTCATGAATTCAAATATTTTTTAGAAAGGTAGTCCCGAAGAAACAAATGGTAATGAAAAAACTCTTAGTTGTTTGTTAAAACTTGATAATACAGAATGGTTTGTTGATGATCGTAGTGAATTAACTATTGGTTATCGATTAAAAGATTGTCAAAAAATGGGTATTCCTATTGTTATAGTGTTTGGAAAACGAGCTGTAAGATTTATTTCTATCAATATTAATCTATTCATTTATTTATTTAGACTAAACAAAACTTGTGTGAAGTCATCGATGTATACAACAATCGAACAGAATATTTATCCTATGAAAATACATTAAAGTTTATTGATGATTATTATTCAGTTTTTTGTTAGACATTTTTTGGTTTTGCTTTTTAAAGACAAAAAGAAAAGGATTTACAAATATTAAGTTTTATTGGTAAAGTTCTTTTTCTTTCAGACAAAAAAAATGCCCTCATCATTTTCTACATCCAATGGTACTTATGCTGCGTTAGCTGTTGGAGCCGTTGCAGTTACATATGCTGGTACACATGCATACAAATCACGTATTCAACGAAAGTATGATGATGGAATTGACCTTAAAAATCAATCAGTTGAAATTGATCCTGTAGAACATATACGTCGTTGTACTTTTTATAAAGATATTGATATTTTTTCGTTTTATAAAACAATATTGCCTAATGTACAAACATTAGGTGATGTTTTCTACAATGGTTATTCATCTTCTAAAAATGGACCGTGTATAGCTAATATTGATCCAGTAGATAAAACAGCAGAACTTCAATGGATATCCTATTCAATGGCTTTAGAACGTATACGTCTAATCGGTTCATATTTATGGACAGAAGCTAAACTAACTCCGATGAAATCAACAATTGCTATTATTTCAATAAATCGACCTGAATATGCATTTGTTGAACATGCTTGCTATATGTATGGATTTGCTGTTCTTGGTCTTTATGCAACCTATGACTCATCAACTATTTTATCGTTATTAGAAAAAACACAAACGGCAGTATTGGTTGTTGATAATTTAAATCGTATTGAATTATTTAAAAATAAATTATTGGAAAAAGATTATCTAAAACAAATTCTCATTATGGATGATATAATAAGCAATGGACATAAAAAAATTAAAAATATTTCAACCATTTTAAAAACTATGCAGCAATCAGATGCTCGTTCACGACCTAAAATTGATCCAGAAAGTATAGCTACTTTTATTTTAACAAGTGGAACCACAGGTTTGATGAAAAAAATATTCTTGAAAAAAATTAATAATATTTATATTTAAGGTGAACCTAAAATTGCAATGTTATCACATACAAATATTTTGGCAACACTAAAAGGTAATATTGATCGTCGACAACGAGCCAAAATAGACGCTGCACCAACTAATAGGCATTGTTCATTTCTACCCATGGCACACTTATATGAAAGATTAACACTCATCAATTATTTTCTGCATGGTTCACAAGTTGTTTTTTGTCCCATACCAGAAAAACTTTTTGAATATTATCCAATTGTAAAACCAACAAATATTTCTATGGTACCAAGAATTTTAAATAAAGTTTATGATACAATAATGACTGAAGTAGGCAAAAGTAAAATAAAACGTTTTCTTATTTCACAAGCATTGCATAATGAACAGCCAACATTATTTTCACGTTTTATTTTTCGCAAAGTAAAAAATTTATTTGGCGGCGAAGTCTTCGCTATGCTAACTGGTTCAGCACCAATTACTCCTGAAGTATTACATTTTTTCCGTATGGCACTCGATATACCTATTGTCGAAGCCTATGGTCAAACTGAATCAACAGCTGCTGGTACAAGTACACATATTACTGATACATCATGTGGTACTGTTGGTTCACCTGCTCCTTCAGTTGAAATAAAGCTTATTGATGTACCTAATACAAATTATCGAAGTAATAATAATCAAGGAGAAATTTGTATTCGAGGGCCAACTATTTTTAAAGGTGAGTTTTCATATCTATGTTAGCATCCAATCTGAGATCCGTCATGAAACGTGTATTTAATTCAGACCATTCTCGGATTGATCAATTACAATACGTGCAATCTAAGATTCGCCTAACAACTTTAGGCGAATTTCACATTGGTCTAGACGTATCTGAGATTGAACGCTAATATATTTTTGAAACTTGAACTAGTCTATTAGTCTTTTTCATATTGTAGGGTATTATGGTGATGAAGCAAAAACACGTGAAACTATTGATGAAGATGGTTGGCTTCATACTGGTGATGTTGGTGAATGGACAAGTAATGGCGCTTTACGTATTATTGATCGTACAAAACATATATTTAAATTAAGTCAGGGTGAATATATTGCGCCTGAACGCCTTGAAGATGGTTATATTCGTTCTCGATGGGTTGCACAAATATTTGTTGATGGAATATCATCAGAATCAACTGTTGTAGCAATTGTTATACCCGATGAAGAATATATACGAAGTAAATTTCGAATGACAAATCCAAACGTAGCATTTCAAGATTTATGTAAAGATGAAAAACTCAAAGAAATTATCTTAGCTGACTTAAAGCAATTAGCTAAAGAATATAAATATCAGTCTTATGAAACCGTTAGTAATATTCATCTTCATCCAGAACTATTCTCACAAGAAAATGGTCTTATTACATCTACATTTAAAACTCGACGAACAGCAGCTCGACAACATTTCCAACATATTATTCAATTACTTTATAAAGTTAATGATAAAATAACAAAGCCAATGAATGTTGAACAACAGTCTAAATTATAAATTCCATGGTGCTAATTTTAATGATTAATAATGAAAAAGATATTTTTTTTGTTTTGTGATTTCATATTTGATTAGTCTTTTAATTGACTCAGCTGTTATTCATACGTTTTCTTCCTAATAAAATTCGATAGTTTATAATAAAAGGGGAAAACATTTAAAAAAAAAAAGAATAATGAGCCACCGAGTGAGTCAAAATGATTGTAATATCGGATATTTTGTAAATATCTCAATATAGACAAATTCGATAACGTTAAATAGTTTTTGAAAATATGTATCGTGAAATTCCCTACAAAAATGGCAATTGAAACAACCCTATTCAATTCTTTCGATGAATTCTTCTAAGACTAAAACTAGAACACTGTATGATGGTAAAATTTCCTATTGTTTTGAAGGAAACAAAAATGAAAACAAGATAGATTATTTTGAGCGAATTTATTTTTAATATAATTATCATATAAAGCTGACTTTTGATGGAGAGTTTGCATCAAAAGTACAGTCAGTGTCTATAGTGCATCCGAAAAAAATTTTACTCCTAAAGTGTTAGTCATAGTGGAACTTAGCAATTCAAGTTAATCAAATTTTTTTGAATGATTTTTTTAAACTGAGTAAACTGTTCCAGAAGTGTTCTAAAAAAACTGAACCTTTATAAATGCAAAGAAGAGAACAAGAGCTACCTTTTGGTAACTGAAAATTTTTATAATCCTATTGTTCATTTTGTAATCTGTCTATTTTACGACAAACAGCACACACAATTTTCATGTAAAATCTTTATCATTTTTCTCGCATGAGTAATTTTTCTTTCTAAATATCACATCCGATAGAATATTAAACATTGCAAATCATCCAGAATATGGCCTCTCAAAAATTGAAAATTTCTTTCGTGGAGTTTCAAACTATCTGCCATCTTACGACATGTTCGATACTCTTTTGAATGTGATATTTGGAAAGAAAAATTACTCATAAAGAAAAATGATAAAGATTTTACATGAACATTGTGTGTGCGGTTTATCGTACAACAAATAGAATACAATATGAATAATCGGCTTGTAAAAACTTTTCGTTACCGAAATATAGTTCGTGTTCTTCTCTTTGCATTTATAAAGGCTCAAGTGTTTTTAGAACAATTCTGGAAAAGATAACTCAGTTTAAAGGATCGTTCAACAAAATTTGACTGGTCCAGATTGTTATATGTTAAATTCCACTAGGACTTAATATTTAGGAGTAAAGTTTCCTTTAAATATAGTATAGACAATGACTGTACTTTTGATGCAAACCATCCATCAAAAGTCAGCTTTATACAACAGTTACATTAAAAACAAATTTGTTCAAAAAATGTTGCCCAGTATTGTATTTCATCACCAACAAATCATATAACTTTAAATCATCTTTTTGAACATGCGTCGTGAAGTTCTCTAATACTTTTGCATGAAAGGGTTCTTTGAATCATTCTAATGAATTTTTAAATGGCAAAGCATGAAGATCTTCATAAACTCGTTTTTGTCCATTACAACGATGGAAAAAACTTCAGAAACATCGGAGTATTATACCTGAAGATTGATGACCTTCTAACTCACTAGACTTAAACCGATTAAATTACTCATGTCAATAAGAACATTAATTATCATTAGGTCAAAACACAAGAAAACTTGAAGAAACAAATCGATGAATAATAGCCCAAAAATTCATTTGAGTTATGTTTGCAAAATGATCGGCACTTTTCTTCAAAAAGTTTGTGTAGTTCAAAATAGAAATGGCAATCATAATTATTTTTCATGAATATTTATACGTTTTATATTATTTTACTTGAACTTTTATCATATTATGCAAACATTTGTTTGAAATAAAGAGAAAATCTTTTTACAATGTTGTTTTGATTTTTGTGGCTCTCCAAACAATAGGACATTTGACTGTCACATAGGATTTCAGTTTTAGTCTAAGAGGCAAGTCATTAAAACAATTCAATGGGATTTCTCATCGCTATTATTGTCGAGAATGTGAGGGTGCATCTTTCTCTAAAAGAGATGTAACGTTATAGAACTTGTCTATATTGAGATATTTGCAAAATACTCGATATTGCAATCATTTTGACGCGTCCCGGTATTATTCTCTAAGGAAAGTACAACTTTTATAAAAGAAATGATGAAAAATATCATTCAGTAGTTCTTAATTACTGAATATTGGGATTTATTTGAAATTTATTTTATATGCAAGAAAGTTTTACGTCAAAATTCGTTTTTTTTAATAAATACCGTGCCAAAGATAAAAATTCTAATGTAACGTCAATCATTCTAAAAGTACAGAGCATGAGGAAGATTCCTTCAAAGCTTCTTCTAATGTCACTGGCCCTACATAATAGGTGGAACATCATTTCAAGCGTGAGGTATCACCTCAGATGGTTTCCTCGGCAGACTTTATTCTTCCACAACAAAAAAAAAGTGATTCAAAAGTGAAGCTTGATTCTTCTCTTTCATTTTTTTATACAATTTTCCTATGAAAAATTGTCATTATTTTCATTGTCGTTTTGTTGTTTTGCTGATGTTGATAATGATGATGATGATGATAAATTCATTTTTT